ATAATTATACGGGTTATGGGTGTTACACTTTTAGCAGTCAATGTATGTACCGCTTACTCATTTCCTCTTACTCCAATTAACAACACTTTAAACAATTTAATGTTTCACTTAAGTATTCCTCAATTATTTAAACCTATATGAAGAAACCTCGGAATCGTTTCTAGATTCATAAATATTATCTAGATCCTCATCCGATTCAACTTGTCTTGGGTCAATTTTTGATCTCGACCTTCTTTTCAATATCATCTACTTTCTTACCTATGTCCTTAGTTTCTGACATCTATTAGGACATATAATAATAACACTCAAGTTAATAAGGAGTGACATCAATCACACTCTAATTGACACCATATCAGTAACTTTGACAATTTTAATGTCATATAATCCTTTTTCTCAATTCAATTAAACTTGGTTTGAGAATCGACTAAACCTGTAGCTCTGATACCAATAAATGTAACATTAATTTCTCGTATATGTTTTCGTACAAAAGTCATAGGTGTAACATGACTTTTAAAAACATTCACCCATTTGTAAAACCCATAAAATTTTGTTTGAAATTTAAAACCAAAAACATTTTAATATAACCATAAAACAGTCGTTGAAACATATTATCAGAGTTATCACTTTAAATACATTCTAGAGCAATTTTTCTTAATTTTGATTACATGCCAATAATTTTTCAAAATAACATGATTGTCATATTGTTACTAATGAAAATCAACCTTAGATTGATGATAATTGCTCCTGCTCTGAGTACCCGACCAGTCTTTACTTTTACCTACGCATGAAATCAACACACGTTAAGTGTATACTTAGTGAGACATAATATTAAAAAACATTTCTATATATACATAATTATATCATGTTTATTTGGTTTCGAACTATTCCACATCATCCATAAGGATTATATAATTCCCTATTATTTAAACCAAATTTCTTTCATACCATCATCGTAAACATTCTTAGTATGTTCAATATACCTTTCTTTCTATACATTTTCCCATTATTCTTTAGTAATTATTCATCAATTTCACATTTATGGTTGCCCTTCATCTCTGTTATGCACCATTATGCATTTCATTTATGGCATCATTTCATGTCTTTAATGCACCATTATGCATTTTCATTTATGGCATCTTTTCATGCCTTTTATGTCAAATAAATGAATGAAACCATTTATGTCAAATTGCACTGTTAAGCATTTAGTCTTTTACCCAAAGGCATTTAGCCTTTTATCTAACTTGCATGATTGATACCTTCCTACCAAATGCACAACTAGGCCATTAATCTTTTACTTTAGAATAGTTTCTACTCTAATAATTATTCATAATTTCAATTAAATCATTCAATTCATTATAACTCTATAGTTTTCACACGTAGTGCCTATGCGGTAAATTACCAACTTTCTAGTCATTATCATTTTATTAAGATGCACACGTAGTTCCTATACGGTAGTTCATCAACCTATAATGAATTCCATGAGTTGCACACATAGTGCTTGTACGGTTGTTCATTAACATATGATGAATTTCGTGGGTTGCACACTTAGTGTCGAAACGGTTGTTCATCAACATATGATGAATTTCGTGGGTTGCACACTTAGTGTTGAAACGGTTATTCATCAACATATGATTAATTCCGTGGGTTGCACACTTAGTGCTGAAACGGTTGTTCATCAACATATGATGAATTTCATGGGTTGCACACTTGGTGGTGAAATGATTGTTCATATGTTATCAACATATGATGAATTCAGTGGGTTGCACACTTAGTGCCTGTACGGAAATTCATAAACTTATTATGAATTTCTTAGTTTTGCACATACAATGCCTATTTGGTAATCACCATACATAATTTAAGCAATCATACATCTATGACTACATAACATATAGGTGCATAATAAATGCACTTATCTGGCTTGCCTCACTATCGTATCTAAAATGCAAAGCTGATTACTCAGGTACCTTGCCCTTCGTTTTTCTGGACTCGGGAACTAGTTTTTGAATTACTCAATCACACAATAAAGACATGTACAATATCAATTGTTAGTATATTTCTGAACCATTATACTTAAACAATACTCAAGAGTATTATTATTATACTTTCTATAACAATCTTAACCTATCTTCACATTTCTGGCTCATTAGTATCGATACCCATACCATGGTATCGATACTACTATACTATGGTACTGATACTCTATTACGGTACCGATACCATTTTTGCATTCTGTGATCAATGGTATCGATACCTTCCTCATAGTATCGATACCTTTCTCTCAATATCGATACTGATTGCATCAATATCGATACTACTCAACTGATTCTTTCCAATTTTAAGCCTATATTATTACTACTGTTCTATCAGTATCGATACCCTTACCCAGATTTTCCATTTTTCATCTCGAATCTTACCCAAATTTGGTCAAATTTCCTTATGTTTACCCCCAATAATACTATTAAACTCTTCTCTACATATCCCTACTAAATTTCCTTCATTTAGCTTCTTAAAACATCTAAAAACTCCCAAGAACATTTCATTCTAAAAATCATACCACTGTTTCTAACATGTTTTCATTGACAAGTCAAATATACTAGTAAAACATCAATAAAAACTCATATTCTAACATATTGTTCAAAAACTCATTTTCTTCAATCTCAAATATTTCATACATCTCCTAGTTTTAATCTTATTTAACCCTTCCTTAAGTTTCTACAATACTCAATGTTTCAAGAACAACCCAAAAATCAAGAGGAAGAGCTAGTTAAATTAAGCCTTACCTTGGCTATGGAGGCTTGTCCTTAAACAGGAAAGAAGAATAAATGAGATAACATATTGGCTTTAGTTTCCCTTTTTTCTTTCTTAAACCCCTAATAGGGAATGAATTTGAAATTCATTTGTCCTTAAAGGACCAAAATACCCTCTATATTTATCCATGATTACAAATTGGTCTGAAATAATATTCCAATCATTATTATCTTTTTATCATTATTCAAATAAGCCTTCAAATTTTTAAATCTTTTCAATTAGGTCATAAATCTGATATTTGGGGTATTACACGAAAGGCATCATGACAGGGTCAAGTAGCTGCTCCAAATTTACTACCTTGTCTTGATGCCTTTCGAGTTGCGTGCAAGAAGAATTGTCTTTTAAAGTTATAATTCAATACAATTCAATTGTAAAATTTCCAAAACAGAGATAAAAAAATCCAATTCATTCACGATATATCAGTCCTATAATCAACATGAACTTATTAATAAGAATACGAGCTCATAGGATACCGAAAACCACAGGTCGGATCAATACAATTCCCAATAAACTAGTACCAACAGTCTCTCGGATTGAGCCTGGTGATTTCACTATGTTGATACTCACAACAAATTCCCTAGTTTAAAGAAAAACCAAACAAGAATATAAAAAAAATTAGCCGATGACCATATTTCACTTCTATTCTGATGGATTGAATATATTTCCTAAGGAGTACTAAAAGTCTTGATTAGGAATAAAGAAATAAAATTAGATGGTTTTTGTTCAAAACTAACACTGAATATCCAGATCATTGACATGCAGTTCCGGAAACATAAAAATTTCAACAAAAAACACACAATGCGAGCTGAAAATGGGAAAGTGCGAAAGAGAAAAAACTTACTTCCGGATAGCCCAAAAGAGAAAATAAAATACCTTCTTGCAAGTGAGGGGAGAGGCTACAAAATAAACACAATCGGTGTTGCGTTCCAGCAATTCTTCCTCTATTTTTTCTTTGTAAATAAAAAACTGAAAGACAGAGCACTGCTTGAGTTTACAATTTTACATGGCATAAAATTGAAGAACAAAAACCAAACGAGAGTGCATATGAGCCAAAGAGACTGAGAAGTGAATGCGCTATTTGGGATTTCATTATATTTGATCATCTGTTGGAAAATCTTTTACCACAAGGTTAAACGAAGAAATATTATATGCCATTTATACAAAATAATTCCAGCTTTGTTGGTGACTTTCAACAATGATACTTAGTTCATCTTAGTAGTATTTGTCAACTCTGCATTTCTAACCCTATTTTTTTCTCACAAGCATTTCATCGAACATCTATGCTTCACCTGAGATGACTTATATCTAACATTACACCTTGAATCGGTGATGGTCCTGATAGTCCCTTGGTCGGGTCTTCTCTCAGTGGACCCTTATTCAAGTCAACACCTCCACATAATTCAAAGTTAGATTAGAATTTCCCATGCATCATCGACTGAAAAGTTACGCTAGAATTGAGAAGAGAGAAGCGACAAATGAAATTCGAGATCGAAAAGGAATTTGAGGTTTAGAATGAAATTGAAGACTGTGTTGCAAGTTTTAAAAGTTGGGGGACCTAAATGCAAGCTCCCGAAAAGTTCAGTGACCATATTGCAAACGTACTAACGGCAGTGTAACGGTGTCAAACGGTCGGTTAAGTCGGGGACCATATTGCAAACGGACTAAATGATGGAAAACTGTATTGCAAGTTTTAAAAGTTGAGGGACCTAAATGAAAGCTTTAGAAAAATTCGGTGACAATTACTATACTTTACCTTAAAGTTAATATAGAAGCAGCCTCAATTTGGAGAATAATAATAGTTTGAAAGAACCGGATGGTTTTAGGCCCAATTCATGAAAACTAACTCCAATTAATTGATACGGAATATCATACATGTTACAGAAACAAGTGTTTAAACCATAAAAGAGATCACAAGCTAAGCTTCTCCGGTGGAGGGTCCATTTTATATATATCATATGATTTTTGCAGGATACTAGTTGGTCCCCCTTATAGTTGTTCTGATTGCATGTATACGCTTCATGAAAGCTGCCATGCAGCCCCCCTTAAATATATATTTAGAATCTATCAAATTTCGTCGACATTGAATTGAATATTTTTACTTATCATTCGTCTCTTTTGTAAAATGAGTTATTGCTTAATTCAATAACTTCAGAAATGGCAACGGCATGTTTTACTCCCACCTTTTTATTCGATAACAAACAAAAATTTTGAATTTCACAGATAATTAAACCAATTGCTTAACCTATGTTCACAACAGCACAACTAAAACTGAATAACTAGACCATGACCTGATCCAAACCAAAATTCCTATGCTCAACAATAACATTAAAAGCATGAAACGAATGAACCGGGACATGACGGAGGACTAGACGGACTTCCGTTGTATCTTTGAAATTGAGAGTGGGTAGGATAATAAATATCGTTCAGATCTGTTTTAAAACTGGATGTTGATCAGTACCTCCCAGCAAAAACTCATCAATGCGGGAAGGGGGTTAGATAAAGTAGAGCTCCACTTGCGATATTCATCATGTTTGATTGAACCGTGCATGTACAAAGGCCTGAAAATCCATCACCGGTGGTTGGGAGTACATCCTAAATTCCTCCAATGAGACCGATATAAGCTTCCTCGTTGATTCGAGGCAACATTTCTCTTTCTGGTGCCCAGTATAGAAGAAGTTTGTTGAGCTCCTCTGAGCACCTGTATAGACGATTAGATCATGGAATATAAGCATTGATATAAGAAGTTAATAGACATTTATTCCGAATTTGCATGAAGTTTAGGGTTGCTAGATTATAAATGTTTTGCTTGGCTTACCCTATTCAACTCAGAAGGGAGCCTCAAGTGATTCATCCCAAACTTCAGCACTTCCATTAGAGGCATCTTCAACATCATCTTCCATTGAAAGCCTAATATATTCTCGATGTGCAAAACGGCCCCATTCTGTCAACGTAGGATTTTCACGCTCCTGGTTCGTTCCAACATAAATGAGGATGTTATCAAAAGTTGCAATTAAAAGTAAAAAAAAAAGTGCTGAAAGTGTCTTGAGACACTTACCTGACGAATGAGGAATGGATCACGAGTTTCATAGGCCATGAATTTGTTAAGATTGAAAAGGATATTGAAAACACTTCCAGAAAGTTTAGAACCTTTCAAGTCACGCAGCATGATAAAACTCTCATTCTGCAAATAAGAAAATTTCAATGGTCAGAAATGGCAATAACAAGATTCACTGGGTTAGTTGGTCTAATGTATGCAAATCAAAGAATGAAGGGGGTTTAGGAGTTCTGAATCTCAACTTGATGAATAGAGCGCTTTTAGGGAAATGGTCGTGGAGGTTAGCCAATGATAGGGATTCTATTTGGAGGGAAGTTATTTGTGCTAAATATAAACTGTATTCTTCTTTATTACTGTTTGACAGTAAGACTCCACCAAAAGTTTCCTGGATTTGGAGATCAGTGCTTAATAATCATTTCAAAGAAGACTCTTTTGACTCTAAGTTTAGAAGCATGTGCAGTTCTCAAGTTGGTGATGGTAAAATTATTCGGTTTTGGCAAGATATTTGGGCTATGGATCATCCTCTTCTGGTCATTTTCCCCAGGCTGTTTTCTATTTCCTCAAACAAGAATGACAAATTATTTGAATTTGGTGATTATAACCCTTTGGGATGGATTTGGGATGTGACGTTTAGAAGGAATTTGAATGATTGGGAGTTTGAACAGTGATCTAACTTGATGGCTGTCATTTCGAATTTTACCCTATCTATTGAAATTTCTGATGGGTTGATTTGGAAAGGCACTAGGGATGGGGTGTATACTGCAAGATCTTGTGTTAATCTCGGTTCATCGGGTTCTTTAGGATCGGAGGAGGTCTATTTCTGGAAGAAGATAATTTGGAGGGGCTTGTTACCTCCAAGAGTGGAGACATTTCTTAGGCAAGTTGTCCTTGAGAAGCTGGTTGTTAAGACAGAATTAGTCAAAAGAGGAGTTAGGTCATTGAAGATCTCTTATGTCCTCTTTGCAAGATGGTGGAAGAGTCTTCCTCCCATTTATTTTTCTCTTGTTCGGTTGTGTGGTCGTTATGGAACAAATTTATGAATTTTTTGAAGATCAATTATGTTTTTCATGCTAATGCTAAAAGTTTTCTCCTAGTTTGGGATGCTTTGAAGACTAACTCAATATATGGTCACTTATTCCAAGGGTTGTTCTTTGGACCACTTGGAAAATTAGGAATTTTATTGTGTTTGAAGGGGGAAGTTAGATCAGGCTGAATACTTCTTCTTAGCAAGGTTTAGGCTTGCTTCTTGGTTCTTAGCAAAGCATAAAGAGGCTTATATTCCTAAGGATTCTCTTATATCTAATCCTTCCTTAGGGGACTCTTGTTCTACCTATTCTAATCCGATTGTATCTATGTTTCCTTGGTCTCCTCCTCCTAAGGGTTTTGTCAAATTGAACGTTGATGCTGCTACTACAAGTGATTGGCAGAAAAGTGGGTTAGGAGGAATTCTAAAAGATTTCTCAGGATTGATCTTAGGCTTTTTCAAGGAGTCTATTGGTCCAAGGCCTCCGACCTTGATGGAATTAAGAGCTATTCAAAAGGGGTTATTATTCTTTGTCTCTTTTCGAGAGCGGATCAAGGATCGTTTGATAATTGAGAGTGACAGCAAGGTGGCAGCAGATTGGATTAAAAAAGTTGAATTATGTCCAGATGTTTATGCTTTTATTGTTAAAGATATTGTTCATAGGCTTAAAGTTTTTGAAGGTGTTATTAGATGGGTTAATAGGACTGCTAACCTAGAGGCAGATGCATTAGAAAAGGATGGAATAGGTTGATGTATGTGATGTTGTTTTGGGATGTTTTTTTTAGGTTTCTTTTCCCATATAGGGAGTTTAAGGATGTTGTACTTTCTATGTACTATTCTTGATTTTAATGAAATTTAAAGGCACTCTTTTCCTCCTTCCGCTGATTAAGGAGCTTTTTACGAGCTCCATTAATCATGAAGGTGGTTTTTAACGAGGCCTCTATTCTTATAAAAAATGGTTAGAAATGTAAAGTGGTCCGCCATCATTACGTGTATAATAAAAGAGCATTCAATGGAAACTTGGCTCCTAAAACCCAATCCAGCATATGGTAAAAAGTTGTTCATGGTATAATTCTCAGAGCCTTAAATGACGCAAAATGATATAGTTATAAAGCAGCCATGAATAGCCTGCTTCAGAGGAAATTTAAGAGACAAACTGATCTCCCAACAATTTGATCAGACCGAAACATGGCTACATACATTCTCATTTTGAGAAGGGGTCATTTGAGTGTATCTAAATAGATACTATGTTTACATATGGATCCCTATGTCATTACTATCACACAAATCTTTTTTATATTACAAGGGGAACTTAAGTATGAGGATTATTATTCATTCCAGCCATTTTGCAACATATTAAGCAGCCAAGGAGATGAAAAGGGAGCAATGATAAAATGGCAAACCTCCGGTTTAATCATGTCAATCATCTGACATAAGATGTCCTCAAAGAGAACAGGCCCCTGTGCCATGCATTCCATTCGGTGTAACTGCTCCTCATAAAAGAATTGCATTTCATTACGAGTTATAACTTCATTGCCATCCAAATCTATGCACTTGAACCTACAAGTTTAAATGTCTCAATCACTGGCTAGTAATAGCATGAAAATGTGATTTAGAATATACAATATCAGGAAAAACTAGAAAAAAATAGAGTTGCTCAGATATTCAATCTTAACGTGATCATTAAGAGCCTCCACCACCTCAAAACACAATGCTATTTCTAACCCTTCGATAGCAGGGGCAGAAAGCATTAAGGCAAATATATCTAAGATACTGAGAAATGCAAAAAACAAAAAAGTTATTGCCAAATTTTTAGGGGGATTTTTTCGAACAAGTGAGTTCATATGAAATATAGGTGTAATTACTTCGACATTAAGCATGTGAGCTATCAAAATGATACTCTGATCATAAAATCCATTATGATACCCTTAAGTCAATAAAGAAAGCGCACAAAAAATACCAATACTCAAGACTAGGCTCGGATGACTTATCCTCCTCTGCAAGGATGAAGTAAACAAAATCTTCATACCCCATCTTTCCTTCAACCTTACCGGTAAACTTTCTGGGAACCTAAGATGACATGGAAGCATTAAAAGAGTGAAAGTTCAAAATTAATAAATAAATAGACAAATGAATGAAACAGAAAACATATAAAAAGGGAATGGTGGAACATAAATGTTCAATCAAATAAAAAACTTCTTTGACCAGGTAGAATGTGGTCTGGACCAAGGAACAAAAATATCAACAGACTCGGACAAACCTGAGAAAATATTCTATCGACAATTCGGTAGGTAAGCGCATGGTTACCATATCTGATAAGGTTCTCCTTGTCAATCAAGAAATCATGATCTGTATCCAGCTCCCAAAACTTGCAGTATATTACATAAAAATGCTCGTACGAAAAGTAACTGCGCATATGATGATAATCATTTCGAAAGATGATGAAAAGATGTGTACCAAAAAGCAATTATATAAACATGCATGTAAGCTTGGGGAATTTGAAAGAAAAATGAAAGTCAGTGTCATACTCTATATATTCCAGGAGATTCCGTCAAATACTTGCCTCAAAACTTTATTAATGTCCTCTTCCTCATCAGCATGTAGCATGGCTTCAATCAAGTTCCCACGTTTCAACTCTCTAAGAGTGAGTTGACCATTTCCAGATCTATTTATGTAGTAGTATATTCTGTATATGACAGTTTCAGCTGGCCATGTGCAACAACAGTTGTATTAATATTTGGAAGCACTGTGGCAATCTGGACTATAAAACAATTGAAAAACACAGAGATAGAGGTTTATGTTAATGTTTAAGCATTAGTAAACAACATATAGAATGAGGCCCTAACATGGTAAGACAGTATCAATATGCTGTAATGCATCAATAGGTGTAAGATATTTTAATTTCCTTTTCAATTGCACAATTATACACAATTTACTATTTCGACTCGTACAGTCACCAATTTGTCAACAATCAGTCATTCTAATATGATCATATGAACATAAGATTATTTTACATTAAACTAAAAAAACGATATTATAAAATGCCTTGGATATCGTAAAAGGAGGGGGTTATGAAGAGTAAAAAAAAATCATAGCATCCAAAAATATCCAATTTCAGTGAGAAAACAGTCAAAAGAAATCAAACATATGAAAAACAAACCATATCTGTCCTGAAACTCAGGTGTACTCTGTAAGAATTCCAACCCTGGATGAGTTGCCAATAGTTCTTGGAGTAAAGGTTTGAAGTCCTCCTGACAGATTGAAAAGTACAAAAGAAGATAAGCTTGAACAAGGACACACAAATATCAACCAATATTGCAGTTGATTTAAGCAATGTCAAAAATGTATAAGAACCTGAGCAAGGTATTTGAGATCTGGTTTCTTTAGTATGGTATAAACTAGGGTTGCTATATCTTTTGTCAGCATGTTTCCATTGACCCAATAATCCACAAATGCATCCCTGAAGATTAAGTAAAAATAAGAAAAAAGGCTACTAGTAGAAATAGAGTTTTCCGGTTCTGGTAAATAGGGTTTTTCGATTCTGAAATTATTTTATTCAAAGAACAATTGTATATTACACAAGAGGATACATGAGATTTTTAAATATATGAATTAGAGTCCTAGATAAGATAGGAGTCATATTTTCTACAAATTAGGAGATAGATTTAGAGATAAGTTAAGATAGGATTCAAAGTTTAACTTAAACACTCTTACACTCCCCCTCAGGTGTGAGAAATGTATGGGAGATGCATATACCGTTGGACAATTACGAGTGGGTCAAGCGTTCATTAACAGGGATATTGAAGTCATCCTTCGAGCAGGATTCATTAAAGGAAGCTTTGGAGATACAGGGTGTGGGAGTTCAAATATCCAGATGGGGCTAACATGGAATGCCTGCATTATTACATTCAATACGGTGGATGAGTTCTCATATGTATGGATGAATAAAAAAATGAGTTGTTATTATGCTTCGATTGGTTAGCTCCTATGCTGAATGATAAAGGAGTTCCGATGGCCCTTTGCCAAGTAGAGATGCTTGGAATGCCTCTATTGTGCTGGAATGAGAATTTCATTAAGAAACTTACGAGGAAGTGGGGTAGTTTCGTTTATTTTGATGAGGATTCAAAGAGAAGTTCTGATCTTTCGTCGGCAAAAATACTGCTCAGGGTGGAAAGCCCTTTTGATGTCCCTGAAGTAGTTACAATAGGTTCCTATGGCAGATCGTTTAAAGTTAAAACAGCGTTGGGGTCAATCTTGAAAAAACCAGAAGAACCGGCTTGGAAGATGGGTGAGAATTTTTCAAAAAAAAAAGAACAGTAGTTTTTCCCGGTCGATGGAGGATAGACGGGTTCCTATTCTGGCAACAACTGTCAACCATGATTTATCAGAGGAGTCCAGGTTTAAAGTCATATCTTGGTTGAATAATGGACAGAATATTGGTGTTAATGGAGTTAGTGGGGGACAAGTTCCCTCGATCAATTCTACTTCAAAAACATCTAATTGTGGGCTGTCAGTTTTCTTTGGAAAAAAATGAAAATCAGAGTGGGAATCACGTGGGTCTGGGATTGAGGAAAACAATTTGCACGGATGATAAAGCACAATCTGTTGACAATGGAGTTGTTCTGTCACCAATTAAGAAATTAGTTCTTACTGGGCCAAAATATAATCCAAAGTGGGTTGTGGGGAAAAGTTTTATACCTCAGCCCAATAACAGTTCAACTATTCCAGTGGAAGCAGCTGAAGTGGGTGTTGCAAGTTGTTCGAAAGATACTACAGGGGGCAGAATGTTGTAATTCAAAGTGAAATGGAGGTTGAAACGAATTTGGAGCAGACAGTAGGGTCGACAGGTGGTGAAGGGGTACAAGTTTTCAATACTAAATATTCTGAAATCCAAGAGAGGGGGAAAGCTAATGATGAACATAGGGCTGGTTCAAAGAAGATGAAGGTGGTAGAGGATGATTATCAGTTGGAACTTAATGCCAGCAGCATAAAACAAAAAACAGAAGGAAAAAAGGTCATCAGTTCTAAAAATTCTGTTCATTTGCTGTCTCGCTCAAGAAGTTTTGACAATCACAGGAGATTAAGGGTTGCTCCAAGGCGTTCTGGCAGCGTGTGCTCGGGGGGTGAGGTTTCTATTACTTTTCACGATAGAGTTTATAGAAGGGTGATGAGAGGTAAGGTCAGAGTTACTCCGGATCAAGAGAGTGATGCTTCAGATTATTCAAACGATGTTGTATCTGTCAGGGATGGGAATTATTTTAATTCGACTGTAATTCAACAGGGTAGCTTGTCACCAGATTTAGAGTAACATGGCTTTAACGATCCTTCTGCTGGAAGAAGTTTGGGTGTTAGAAGTATGCAAAGGGAGGTAGAAGGAGTGCATTACGTGGGAGGAAGTCCAAGCTCTAATTCTGGAATTTCTAATAGAAGAGCTAGAAGACTTTTGTTAAGGGAAGCTCTAGAAAGAGTGAGCATTTCAACAGCTTCCTCTGCAGCCTTTTCAGATTTATTGGAGGAAGCACTTGTTACCTGGGAGATAAGTAAGCTGTTGGGGATTTCTTTTAAGCAAGGTCAACAAACCTTTTTGAATAAGATTATTAGTTTGGAGGAGGATTTGAGATTCGATGGGGGTTTAGATGGATGATTTTTTTATGATGAAGTTGAAACTATCCATAGTTACATGGAATGTTAGAGGTTTGGGTAGAAAAGAGAAGCATAGGGTTGTTCAGAGGTTAGTTTCTAAATACTATCCTCATTTTCTTTGGTTGCAGGAAACAAAATTGGAGAAGATTCCTAGATCTTTTCTTAGAAGAAAAGGGTTAAATTATTTACAAGGGATTATTGAGTCTCCTTCGATTGGTTCATCAGGGGGACTTCTGAGTTGCTAGAATGATAACTATTTTGAGCTGGAAAATCAGTACTTAAACAGAAGATTTATAGCTATATCAGGTAGGTTCCGTGCTAATAATTTCAGATGTAGATTTATTAATGTGTACAGCCCTTCGGTTGAGGAGGAGAAAGAAAGTTGTTTTGAAGAGTTATGTATGTTCATAGGTGGTCACAATGAACCTATTTGTATAGGAGGGGATTTTAATGTTTTCCTTCATGAGGAAGAGAAGATTGGTAGAGCTGAAAAAAGGAATTCAATGAGGATCTTCAGTAAATTTCTTCGACATATTGGTCTAATTGATTTGCCCTTGAATGATGGAAGGTTTACTTGGTGTAACAATCAAGACTCTCCGACTTATGTAAGACTAGACAGATTTTTGGTTGATTGTCAATTCATGGCTGCTTTTCCAGATTTAGTTCAGTTATTACTGCCAAGGTCAGTGTCAGACCATAATGCAGTTATAATTGAAAATGGCGGTGTTAATTGGGGAATTAAACCTTTTAAACTGTTCAATTACTTGATGGATGAAGTCGAATTCGTAGATTTGGTCAGCTCTTCAATTCAAGAAGGTAAGGAGAATCAGAGGAATGCTGGAATTTTTAGTATTATGAAAAAAACCAAATCTGCCATCAAAGATTAGGCAGGGAAAAGAGATAAATTTCCAATAGCTATAATTTTAGAAATAGAAATGAAGATTCAGAAGTTAGAATTGGTTGTTCAACAGGGGCAAGCTGGGTCCAATGGTGAGAAAACAACTGAGTTGAAGGTGTTAAGGACAGAATTATGGAGGCAATATAAGTTAGAGGAGCAGATTTGGTTCCAGAAATCAAGATCGAAGTGGGTTGAAGATGGGGACAGAAATACCAGATTCTTTCATACTTGCGCTTCAGTTAGGAGGAAGAGAAATGCTTTAAATGCTCTGTATATTAAGGGAAATGTTATTCATGACCCAAATGTTATTAAGGCCACTGTCAAAGAATACTTTTTTAAGGCTTTTAATGAACAGACAACCTTAGAAGTGGAAGATATTGAGCTGGATTTTTCCAGTATCTCATTAGAACAGAATTTGTGTTTGGAGAAAGAATTCACAGAGGATGAGGTTTGGGAATCTTTAAATTCTTGTAATAGCAATAAAGCTTCGGGACCAGATGGTTTAAATTTGGGCTTCTTCAAAAGATTTTGGCATGTCCTTAAGGGAGACATTATGAAGTTTTTTAAAAATTTCTACTTGGGGAAAGATTGGGAACATGGCATTAACCACACATTTATTACTCTCATTCCAAAAAGCTCAAACATTGGTGACCTTGATGATTATAGGCCTATTAGCTTAGTTGGTGGATTATATAAGATCATTTCTAAGTGTCTCTCGAGGAGGTTACGGAGTTGTATTTCTGATATTATTAGTCCTTCACAGTTTGCCTTTATTCCAGGCCGAGAAATTTTGGATTGTTCTGTAGTTGCTAATGAAGGTGTTGATTTTTGGAGGAAAAATGGACTTAAGGGATGTATTTTCAAGGCTGATTTCAGGAAAGCATATGATTCGGTTGATTGAGATACTTTATTACTAGTTAAGGAGAAAATGGGATTTGGTTCCAAATGGAGAGGTTGGATAAAAAAATGTATTACCACAGCTTCTGTTTCTGTTTTAGTTAATGGAGTGCCTTCGAAAGAATTCCCAATGGCGAAGGGATTAAGACAGGGATGTTCCTTATCCCCTTTGTTGTTTAATTGTATAGGTGAACTTCTCAACTTATTGATTCGAAAGGCTGTTGCAAAGGGGCTGTTTTCTGGTTTGGTTATGGGTAGGGTAGAGGGGACCTTTAATTTATCTCATCTACAGTTTGCGGATGATCTCATTATCTTTTGTGGGGCTTCAAAAAAAAGATTCTTAATGTGAAGAGGGTGCTTAGAGTGTTTCAAGTGATTTCGGGTTTATAGCTTAACATGAAGAAAAGCAAACTATTTGGTGTTAATGTGAATGAAGAAGAAGTTCAGGTTTGGGCAAACACATTCGGCTGTTCAATAGGCAGATTTCCTTCTGATTATTTAGGGCTTCCTTTGGGGGCTACTAGAAATTCTACAGCTCTTTGGAATCCAGTGGTTAATAATTTCAACAAATTATCTGAGTGGAAAGCTTCTTCTCTTCATTAGCAGGATTGGTTTTGATCAAGTCGGTTATGTGTTCGCTTCCAACATATTACCTATAATTGTTTAAGCTTCCTTCTTCGGTTCTCAAAAACCTCAACTCTATAATGTCAAATTTCTTATGGGGATGGGTAATGAAAGAAGTAAGATTCATTGGGTTAGTTGGCATAATGTGTGCAAATCAAAGTTTGAGGGGGGCCTAGGTGTTTTGAATCTTAATTTGATGAATAGAGCACTTTTAGAGAAATGGTCATGGAGGTTTGCCAATGAAAGAGAGGTTGTTTGGAGGGAATTTATTTGTTCTAAATATAAGCTGGATTCTTCTTTGTTAATGTTTGACAATAAGATACCACAGAAAGTTTCTTGGATTTGGAGATCGGTGGTATTGAATCATTTCAAAGATGACAATGTAGGCTCAAAGTTTA